CAGTTCCCCCCCCCCCCCCCTAGTTATTATAATTTCCTTTTGCTTAAATATTACGGTTAAGTCAAACCCCCCATACTTTATATCTACAACCTAATGAAAATCTTAGGAGGATGGTTCATTGGAAATGCATAATAAATAAATAATAAATAGTTGGTATCAAAATTTGTTCCATACTAGTTCAAATTCGAATTCCTACTATAATTCATTTGAACATGACTGAATTCGGAACCTATTACTTCCTCCACCTTAATTTAAGTGTTACTTTTATTGGACACAAAATTAAGAAATGATAAATAAGAATTTTTAAATTTTGTGATCTTATATTAAAGATGTCTGTTGTCCTTCAAATTTTGTGGTTTTAAATATATCATGTCTAGGATTGTTCATGGTTATGGTTAAAAAATCAAACCGAATCGCAATTTAAACCAAACCGATTAAAAAAATTGATATTTGGTTTGATTTGGTTTTAAATTTTGAAAATCGATACTATTTGGTTTGGTTTTGGTTTTACTAAAAAAACTACCGCAAAAATAACCAAACCGAATCAATAAATTAGATAAATAAATTTTATAATTATTTATATATTATTCATAAATCAAATATAAATATTTTGTTAAATTTTAATTAACTTAAGTTTTTAACTTTACCATTTTCTCAAGCCCAACACTTTAGCCCAACTACAACAATCCTAAGTCCAAGTCCATCAAAATTCATTTTAGTCTTTACCTACCCTATTTCACATAAAATAGTCACACTTTCTCTTAATTGAATCACTTTGTTCGTGTAATAATAACTCTAGTATTGCTTAATTGCTTAATTGAACCGACAATTACTTTTCTGTGGATTGTTCATGTACTAGGTGCTTGTGTATCAAAATTCATTTTAGTCTTTACCTACCTATTTCACATAAAATAGTCACACTTTCTCTTAATTGAATCACTTTGTTCGTGTAATAATAACTCTAGTATTGCTTAATTGCTTAATTGAACCGACAATTACTTTTCTGTGGATTGTTCATGTACTAGGTGCTTGTGTCTATCGAGATATAAACGTCCTCAAAAAAATTATTACTTTCAAACGGAATAAACCAGAAAAACTTAACCAAATCGACAGTTATTTTTCGTTTGGTTTGGTTTGGTTTTAGAAATTTTAAAAACCGACTAAATTGATTTGATTTTGCTTTTAATCAATAATCAATCCAAATCGAACCACGAACATCCCTAATCATGTCGAATATTGAAATTGAAAACTTATTAATTAAGAAATACAAACTCTTTTTGAGATAAATAGTTTTTTTTATAAAAAACACTGAAATTGAGACCGAAAAAGTATTTTATGTAATACATACTATAATTTTTAACACATGTATGTATACCATTAAAGCTAAAACTAGTGAATATGTATTATACTCCCCCGTTACATTTTAGTTGGACTCTATATTTTAAAAAATGGATTTCTTTTTGTCTATTTTAGGAAATTGTGAGAGTTTTTTTGTATTATTAGTATTAAATAACTAAATAGAAGTAATAATAATTAAATTTAGAGTGAAAAATTATAAGATATACATTTTCTTAAAAAGGGTATAAAATCAATATAAACCATTTTAATATTAGGAATAGGTTCTGTGCTGCAAGCGGCCATGAACAGAAGAGAAGGAAGCAGCTTGAGTAACACAAAAATGGGTGAAAACACTTGGGGTGGTTTGATAGTTGGTTAGGATTATGTTATTTATGTATTAAATTTTGTATAAATAATATTTTATTTTGTAATGTTTTTTTATTATATATAATATTTAACTCAATTAATATGTTGTTTGGTTTGTAATTTAGAATTCACATAACGAATTTATTTATATGTTATGAGAAAATCAATACATTATTTTAGAGAGAAATATTGAAAACATCCCTAAATCGACGTGAATTATTAGTTTCATTCTCGAACTATTAATAGCTTTAAAAACACACCTTTATTTGATTAACTTAACTTAAATACACCTCGATCTTGTAACATGAGTGAAAACACACCCCTAAATTTTCGCCAAGGTTAAGGGTGTTTTTTCAACACTTCTCTTGATCTTTTATTAAGAGTTTCATGCTCCTACAAGAGTTTGAGACCACTTGCTATGTCATGTTGCCATATCGGGATGTATCTAAGTTTAATTAGCCAAGTAGAGACGTGTTTTTAAGGCTATCAATAGTTTGCGGACGAAACTAATAATTTGCGCCAAGTAACTAACCTTCACTTTATATATATTTAGTTTTCAAATTTTTTCGGCAAGCCTTAGTTATTCATTCTTAAAATAAATTTTTCATCTTTTTTAGCTAAAATATTTGTGTGTGTGAATTTCCTTAATTATACCGTGTGTTTAAAATAAAACTATCATCTTATTTTACTTAAAAATAAACTTTCATCTTAAGTTTGTTAAAGTAAAAGAAGATTTATTATTTATGTTACTTCATTTAAACACATATCACTCTTAAATTGTAAAATATTAAAATTATTTTTGTTTTAGTTGATATATAAAATACAAGCTTTCAAGTGATTAAAAGAATATATAGTTTAAAATATATAATTCAGTATTAGAGAAATCAAAATATATAACTATAAAAATTAGTCAAATAAATTCAAAAATAAAAATTATATTATATCATGTAATTTTTTAATGGAAAAATATGAATTGTCATAAAAATAAACAGTAGTGAAGATTATGAATGTTATACATGGTATTACAATAATATGAATACACATGGATATAAAAAGTATGGTATAAAAAGAATTTAAGGGGATACTTTTATCATTTCAAGCTATTTTATTTCATAATAAATTAATCCCGATATTATTATTCCACTTAAGGAGAGAAATAACTTATTTCAATACTAATTACTTGATTTCGAGATAAATTATGTCAAACTTATCAACCAAATAAATAGTTAAATGACACCAAAATTTAATCCAAAAATTATTTGATATTATCACAAAGCTACTTGACAGTGTACTAATCAATTAGCAAACGCCCCCTAAGTTGAATTTAATTTATTTAACGAAGACTAAAAGCGAAGGGCAAATTAAAGCATCAGAGTCAGGTGTAGAAACTGACTTCTCGTGATGTACAGGGGCCGAATAGTATCAACAACATTTGAAACCTTTATTTAAATACTCCATTAGTTCATTTTTACTCGTCACTTATTTCTAAAATAAATTTTTATTTTTATTTGTCACTTTACCTATCAAGAAAAAACAATTATTTTTTCATATTTAACCTTCAACATTAAATACTTATTCTTCAAATCATTTCAAGACCTAATACTCTGTCCACTATTGATTTGAGACTCCTTAAGATACAATAAATAATAGGAGTAATATTACTATATTATCCTTTGACTTTATTAAATTTAATGATTTGAAAAGTGTGTTAGATGATAAATAGTATTTAATAACAAAGTTAAAATAGACACAAAAGATAAATTGCTCTATCTCTTAATTTTCTGAATTGGACAATTTTTATTGGACGTAGGAAGTACTAAGCAACATTAAATAGATATAGTTTGATAAAATACCTATATCAATAATTGTTTTCTTAATTGGTATGTCAAGTCAAACAGTGACAAGTAAAAATGAATTGAGGGAGTAAGTATTTTATCCATTTTATAAAATTTGAAAATTAATTTTAATTTTTTATAATTTTAAATTAAAAATATATTTAAATAGTTTTTAACATTATACTAAACATATCATATAAAAAATTATAATTAAATAATTATTAGAAAAAAACAATTGTTTAGATAAACTAAAAATAATAAATCAAACAAATAAAAAACAACTAGTACTTACAAGTTACAACGTACCATACTATGTATAGGGAAACATATATTAATGGAGTATTGAATAAAGCCCTCCGTGCCCACTTGCAAACCAACTTGCCTTCTTCCTAATCCCAAGAGAAAATTAGGAAAAGCAAAACCACAAGTTGCCTTTTGTTTGAACACCAACTTGGTTATAAATATCAACTTGTTTGATTCTTCGATCACGACGACCAATATTAGTACTATTTTATTTATTTTTTAATATAAGAATAATCCATATTTTATTTTATCTTTATTTCAATATCTTTGGTCAACAAATGAACTAGTTCAACTTTTCTCGAACATGCCCTAAAACGGAAATTTAAACCCCTAGCTAACGATACCATTATTTCTATTATAAAAAGAACACTAGAGTATTTAAATTGTTAGTTTCCATTTCGCCAGCAGATTCATTGTTCAAAAGCCATCTACTTTATTTATCATCGATTATTATAATAAAATAATTTACTCACAATTGGTGAAACCCTTTCACTATAATAATTGTTGGGGGATATTAAAGCTTTTAACTAGACAATTTGGAATTAAAAAATAGACATAAGTTCATTAATTGTGCTAAATAACTTTTGTTTTCCTCCGGAGCCTCCATTGGAGTCCAACTAAATTCGAATTGTGCACTTCAAAATCTATTCTGGAGCGGCACTGCTAACAAGATTTTGTCCAGTTCCCCGATTTGCCACGGAAGTGGATATGTACTGGAATATTCTAATTCTTTTTCTACTTAGTAATGCTTTGTGGACATTCAGAGGGTTAATCTTATTTTTTTTATAATATTAATGCAAGATTTCACATTTCAAATATCAAAATTGTTTCCTAATTTGAGGTCTAGAGGAAGTGAGCACCACGAATTTGCCACATTCAACCGTCAAGGGAAAAGGAAAAAAATTACCGCAGAGAAATAGTAATGCCCAAATTCCAATTTCAACCTCATAGTATAAAATGTTTCAAACTTAATTAATGCAAAGATGAGGGGAAGAACAGTACTACTTAATTACTGGATATCAATCTCAACTATATTGGTGACTCCTTGTATTTTGATATTTTAATGTATTATTTCAAGTAATACAATAAGTCACAAAAGGAAATCCAAAACCTAGAACAATTGCTTTTATTAGAATTGGTAATCACCACACTTGGAAATGTGTAAAAATGGCACAATGGTCCAATCTTGGTACAAAAGCTACCAACTTATTAGGAGGCCGCTAATTTGAACCCTTCTTAACCAAACAAGTAAAGAGAAGAAGAAAGGAAGAAATAAATACTCCCTAATACTCTATTTCAATTTAATTGACTTCAATTCAAAAAATAGAAAGTTCAAACTAACTGATGTTTAGTGTAAGTTCGAATATAAAATTTACATATTTAAAACTATATAAAAAAAAATATAGTACATAAGTTACCATAATTAACAATTTGAGAAAGTATTTTTCACAATAATTAACAAACTGAGAAAATTAGGATGAAAGAAAAATATTTTTGACTGTTAAACTAGTAACTAATACGGGTGGAAGTGTTAATACTTTGTATATTGAGAAGAATTTATGTGATGGTGACAAAGTGATTGGTAGGTATAGAAATATCATAGTAACACGTTTAAACAATTCCACAGTCCACGAAATCTACCAATTTTCAGTTGTGGGTCGGGTCTTCATCATGATCTACAATACTTAACAAAAAGTACTCTCTATCCATCATTCATAACAAGTAACAACTAAGTTAAAAAAGATCCAGAAATGTACAAAACAGAATAATTAATTAATCATGATTCATAGTTAATTTATTACTCTTTGACGTTTTAGCCTTGTTCTGTGCGATTTGAGCCAGCGACTGCAAATTGCACCGCACAATTGTATCCACAAATACACACGTTTCTTCCTTGGTATTCCCTTGTGGAACATCTACTTCATACGATTCTACCACCACCGTCGATCCTTCTTCCGCCGCCCGGTGCAGCGTCGTCACCGATCGGTAATTATTTAGCCGATGATCTCCTCCCACAACGCTAAAACTCAACACGTGTTTCTCGTCATCCAAAATCTCCAGCCTCTCCGTACTGGAACCCGCCGGAAGTCCCGATACAACCAGAACTTCCCTAAGTGTACCGACGTCACCGTCACCGACGATGACGTGGCAGCTCTTGAGAAAGTGTTTGTATGCTTGTGGGTTATCGAATCGGCGGACGAGGGACCAGACAGTGTCGATTGGGGCGGAAATAGACTGCAGCACCGCGGAGCAGCACTGGTTGGGACCCACAACGTGGGTGTGGTAATGCAATACGTTGTCAGGGACAGAAATGGAAACCGGACTGAACCATGTTGTAGCCTGAGATAATTGCGGTTGTTTGTGGAAGTTGTTAACCGCTAGTGTGGCGGTGTTCGGATTAATTCGATGCAGTTGAAGGGAAGAAGGCATCCTTTTTTTTTTCTCCTCTAAGCCTCTTCTCTTTGGGAAAAAAAAAAAAAAGAGATTAGAGAGATAACATATATACCATCAAGAAATTAAGAAAGGAATATATATGTACAATACTTACTTTGTCTCGGAGAATAACTCCTAAAAATAAAGGGAGATGTTTAGCACATTGCTTACGCAGGCTTCTGCAAGTGGATCATCAACTTGCTTAAAACTCATTTGGACGGAGTCTACTTGCATTTTGCCCTTCTTCTTTCTCTTTTATTACGTGATCTGCCACACTGTTGTAATCCTCTGCTGAAATTACTAAATAGCCCTTCATATCTCCAATAAAGACAGCCGACTCTCCCAGCCCATGGCGGTGTTCTGAACAACTACACTCAGCCAATGGTTTGTCCTTTGATTCATCTGCCATCTGTCTTTTTGAAGAGATGCCACGTAGACATGACTAAAAATATTTTTTCCAAAAAAAAAAAAAACCTACTGATAAGAGAATCAATTAAAAATTCAGAAACTCTTTTCGTTTTCTTGATTAATTATCAACTATTTTTTACCCACGGAAGTACTGTAATAATATCTCAAAGAACAAATAAAAACACGCCTCACGTAGTCACGTGTGTATGTACAAATTTTCATAAATGGTGTTGATAATAGACAAAATTTCCTAAACAAATTTTAACTTTTTAAAATGTCTTTATAATAATTTTATCATAAATAGTATATTATGTATATTTTTTTTCTATATAAGCTAAGATCAACACAAAAAATTCATCATCCATTCAATTCTACATATTAGTCTTAATCAACTTCATCATCGTGAAAGCCTTTTCAATTATGGCATAACAACTAATAACTCCACTAATACGTATATATCACACAATTGTTTACCCTAAAAATGGAACCGTTGAATTATATGAGGTTAAAAACACACGTCTTAATCTAACACTTTTTAGGTCTATTTACTAGCGATTTGAATATTTGATTTGTTATTAAAAAAAGTAAATATAACAAAATACAATGTTCTAAGGATCACAGAGAGTGAAATGAAAAATGTTGTCAATCGAATTTAATGAATGTGTTTACTTGAGTGTACAAGTGTGATTTTTGTTCATTGTGATTATAATTATGTTGTGTGTTTGATTTATTATATCAGTTTGTCATGTCTATACATATTATTCTTGAATTAGGTATCACGCTAGTATATATTGTTACTGAATCGGATACCATGCTGATATATACTCTTATTGGATCGGATACCATATCAATACACTAACAATTTGAATGGGTACCACACCGATACACTAACATTTGTGTGGGAGGAGTTTGGGGGGGGGGGGGGGGGC